TAGATAGTTTTATAAAATAATATATAGCCTCATGTTACTCTCTGATACTGTATCTTTCTATAGGTGAAAGATGTTTTTAAATCGATTGAATAGTTTTTGAAATTATTCATTCCAAACAAACAAGCAAATCTTCCCTCTTTATAATATTAACTAGCTGACTCGGCAAACATTGTTTTACCATATACATTATTTCGAAAACTATACATGAAAATTTATCGTACTACAATTATTATATTCGATCCTATTGCGGCATATAAAAATCGCGATTAAAAAATTTATCGTAAAAGCGTGAAAATCTATATCAATGCTAAGTCATAATAAAATAAAAATAAAAAAATTGACAAAAAAAAACAAAAAAATTAGGGATGGGTCACCCTTATCATTGAGGGGTATGAAAAATAGATGTTGGCCGATTCTACCAAATATGCACACAAAATTTTATAAAAATCGGTAAAGCCGTTTCGGAGGAGTTTGGTAATAACAAACACCGCGACACGAGAATTTTATATATAAGATATACATATACAAAAAGATTTAAAAGTCGCTTAAAAATATATATTTATGTATGTATGTATATATTCATTCATTTAATATATTATGTGTATGTTTATATTATACGAATTTGTCAAGTATTGCTTTATTTTTCTTCTATTCGAAAAAGCACCGCGTACGTCTTTCTCGGTTTGCCCAATGGTTGACTGGTAGAGAACACCGTCCGGTGTTAACTCCGCCAAAGGTACATAGAATTTTACTGTGCATTAAAGTTTAAATAAATAAATATACAGTACTGTAGTTATTTCTCTACTAATTTTGACAATAACTTATGTGAATAACTGTAATCTTAATAAATACAAGTTATATTTATAAACTTAATTTACCTTTTATTCGCCCTTTACACGGGGGCAAGTTTAATTAAGTTTTTAAGCAGCTCGCCCTGCCGCCGATAAATAATACGGTTTACGCCGGCCAAATTGTGACAGTCACCAGGTGAGATTCATTGCGTACTACCGGTTGAATTTTTAAATTTGTTACATAGGCCCGTAGTGTCTTAATTGAACATCCATTTTGACGGATTTGTCGGAGTCTGAAATATCTGAGATTTTTAATGTGGAAGTGTATTTAAGGCCTATATACTTTTATTAACGTTTTCTTTTCAATCTTATGCATAAACCATATTTTTTTCTAATGGATGAATAATCGAATGGCAACCCCGCCTGCGCTAACGGTATACACTGACATACACATACCAGAGGGAGACTGTACAAAAGTCGTTTGCTTGGGTACCTCTGTACCATTCGTGTTTCAACCGTGAAGCAGTTGTGTTTGCATGGCTGTGTTTCGGTTTGAAGGGTGGAATATGGCGTGAATTTACAGGGTACAGAGGAATAACACCTGAGTCCTCAGGAATGGCAACGCATGGGGGGTATCATGGGCAAAACAGTATACTCTGTTACATCTATGGTACTGCTCATGTTTATAGGCGACGGTTACCACTTTTCATCAAGTGGGCCGTCAGCTTGTTTGCCATTCTAAGTTGTACAAAAAAAAAAACACTAGCATTGAGAGATGACAGGTGAGAATAAACAGGCAGGTTAGTCAATCCATTGTGATGAATAAACCAGAAATATAGCACTATGGATTCCAGTGGGACCACGTGGAGATCGCCTTGACAAGGTTACATATCGTGCTTTTTATTAAAAAAAAAAAATCAAAACTAATAAAGATAACAAATATAATTTTCACTATAAACAGCTGCTTGTATACTTGTATCTTTACTAAATATGGTAAAATAAGACTACATACAAATAAAATGAGTATGTATAATATTTATATTATTATATACATACATATAATAAATGTAATGTATCACATCTCCCATATTTAGAACTAACAACATTTTTCATCGTGCCTCCCACCAAATTGTTTATAATTACTCTTTTCCATCCAAAGGTTGCCTGATAGAGATCGCTCTTAGCGATAAGGTTGCCCATTTTTTTAGAATAGAAATCATTTATTCAAATAAACTTACATTGAAGCACTTTTGAAAAGTCATTACATTTTTTTTAATCTACCGCTCGTTCGGAAAGCTGTCTCATCACAAGAAGAACGAGCAAGAAACTTGCGTGTTGCTCTTTTAAATAATTTTATTATTACTTTACATTTTTAAGTTTAAGTGTGTGAATACAAACCACCAATTATTGCATAATAATGCATTGTTTTCTCATTGTAATTGTTTATATTTATAATAAGTTTACTATTGTAATCTTTTGGAGAAAACAATAAAGAGTGTCTATCTATATTATTATAAAGCGGAATAATTTGATTGATTGTTCGTTTATAATGGATAACTCAAAAACTACCCGACCGATTTTGAAAATTCTTTCACCTGTAGAAAGCTACATTCTCACCAAGTAACATAGACATACATACATTATTTTTGAAAATTCTTATTACCTATACGAAGCCTTTCCGGATCTGGTATTAAATATTTATAAAAATAAAAAAAAATCATACTTCTTAGAGTGACTTTATGCGACTTAGAATGGCAAACAAGTTGACGGTCCACCTGATGTAAAGTGGTAAACGTCGCCTATAGACATGTGCAGTACCATGGACGTAACAGAATATACTGTTTCACCTACGACACCCCCCATGCGTTACCATATTTTAGTATTCTGGTATTAGTTTTCAAACTTATTATTATGTGTACTTATATTATGCAACTGATCTTTTTTTTTCGAAAGAAACACTAAAAAATTATTGACTGTTCATTCATTTCCGTACTTAAAGAATCCAAGCCTAATAAGCCTAATAGTCACGTTTCAGTACTCCTTTTTAAGTACCGGATATCGTTAGAGGCGATTAGTAGAATAAAGGACCAAGGTGACATAAGTATAAGAATTACATTTATGTTGGACCTTTTACAGCTTTTGAACGACTCCTAAAAGGAAGTCCGAATTGCCGAATGTGACGTTTTAATTGATTTTGTTTCCATATCAATACGATATCCAGGACCTTTGCTCAAAAATAAACTTGTATTGTTTCTGTGGGTGTCGTAAGAGGCGGTAAAAGGAACTTAATTGTCGAGGGATGACCAGCAGTGTCTCTTTAAAACATCACCAAAAGCCTTATCGTTGCTAAATTGCCTGCCAAGCGTGAAAACTATTAACAAACCCTCCTTATGATGAAGGTCTATGTTCAGCAGTGGACAGTTAACGGCTGAAATAATAATAATATATAACATCTCAGATGGTTGAGATTCCGAGGCGGCTCACTCCCGGGAAAGATGCAGAAAGCAGTGCTTTTAGATTCTGCCCGCATACAGGTTACTTTCACCGGCGTACAGGTTACTCTCCCTGGGGCCCTGAACCCGGGCCGACTTTGCTTCTACCGGGGGTTAGTTGCCATATCCTCTCCTTAAGAGGAGAGATGTGAATTTTGTAAACATTTAAAAAATAATAATAAAAAAGTAAATACGTATTTTATAACACTTTTTTTGCGTGAAACACCACAACCTCATATAATTTTCATCTCAACAACCACAAATACGAGACTGGTAAATTAAAAGAGCAATTATGTGGACTCTAATAAGAAAGTTATTTGGTATTTGCCAACTCATTGGAATCTGTTAAATTTCTTTGATCAACTCAACGGAGGCTCAGTAAAGTCAAAAGAATTTACTACATCAACATTTTACTTGAAATAAATTAAAGAGAACATATACCAGTACTAACGCAGACCTTTGATTTCGTCGATCGGATAAAATAAAACTAATTTTAAAATAAATATTCGAAATACTCGATATGCACACGTTTCGTCGAGTGTAGTCGAATCCAACATCACAAGGGGTTTGGTTAGTCGTTTTATCTCAAATGAAATATACTCATAACTTTTAGAAAAACTGATACAGTTATTTTGTTTTATACAACTTAGAATAGCAAAATAACTGACGGTACACCTGATGGAAAGTGGTAATCGTCGCCTATATACATGAACAGTACCATGGACATAACAGAGTATACTGTTTCGTCCATGATACCCCCCATGCGTTGCCGTTCAAACCGAAACACAGCTATGCAAACACAACTGCTTCACGGTAGAAACATGAATGCGACAGAGGTGCTCAAGCAATCGACTTTTATACAAAGTCTCCCTCTGGTAAATCTCTCAAAGTAATAACAATTTCACTGTCGATTATTTACATTTATTTATTTAACTCTTTATTGCATCAGAAACCCAAAAATATAAAACAAAAATTAAATATGTAATTCAAGTGAAATGCAATAACATAAAGAACAGATTAAAATATATACCTCTCCAACATAAAGGTACAAAAGGCGGTCTTATCGCTAGGGCGATCTCTTACAGACATCTTTTGGTTAAATGAGAATAAACAGAACTCATCATCGTCCATTCTTAACCGACTTCAAATAAGGAGGACGTTCTCTAATTAACTGTATTTTTACCTCAGATTTTCGTCATTTAAAAACCGATTGAGAAGTTTATTTTTTTAACTGAAAATTGTATCAAAATCTGTTTAGTTTTAATATTATTATAAATGGTTTTGCTACATTGAAATTTTATTTTGTGTAACGAAATCTTAAATTGCATATTATTCATTCGTGAGTTAGTCTAAGATTGTCGTATAAAAAAACTCCTACGACTACAATTCATTATTATGAAAAAGAATATCAGCGAAGACGCGGATCATTTTTTTTTTACCATTTGTATTTCAAATGTAGACTATAAATGATCAAGTTTTTATTATTAACCATTTTCCATCAGGTGGGACGTTAGCTTATTTGCCATTCTAAGTTGCGTAAAAAAATAGTAAACAAAACGTTTAACTGATTCGACCGAACCGTCTCCGAAGACAGTCTGCTAAGACAAGACAAATAAAAAATCAAATATTAAAAATCAATTGAATATTCCGAATTGTTTCGTGTAAAACTTCGTTGCTTTTTTAATATTAAGTTACATTAAGTTATTAAGGTACTTACTGAGTGCTATATTCGCCTGCTTGTTCCTGTCGAGCTGCCCGCGAAGCGCCCGTAGCCGGCGTAGCTTCAACTCCTGCGCCTCTACGCGCTCGCGCAGTCTCCGCAGCCGCTCGCCTTCTACCGCCACCTAGTGACAACCATATGCAACTATTAGCTTCTATTTAGTTAAAGACACACTATATCAGTGTTTCTCAACCTTTTTTGTGCCCTGCCCCACTTGAACATTTCTAAAATGTTTATGCCCCACACATATATTTTCCTGACAAAGTTTACTTGACGACTTTAATCCCCCAGTTGATATTTTGGTAATGTTTTACGAAATTATGCCTAATAAATATTTACAGCATTTTTATTAATTTACTTTTTTTGATAAATTTGGTACCGATATCTACTGTTAGCATTGCATTTAAATGGCCCGGAGCAAGAGGGTTAAAATCGCTTCGAGTCCATTTTTAATTGCCCCCGCCCCCCCTTAACTATCAAATTGCCCCTCTGTGGGGCGTGGACCCCACGTTGGGAAACACCGCACTATATTGTGTATTTATATACAGAAGGTAGGCCGGCCCTACGATAGGTCAATGACCTAATGACAGGTCATTAAATATTTTCTGAAATTTCTTGGCCGAACGAAATATAAATTTGATGTTAAAATTATATAATACGTGTCCTTTAAAATATAAATGTTAAATTATCGTTCCTTTGGAGTATTGTGGTAGGATTTATGACAAACGAAAAGCTATTTATTGGACCCATACGTCTCTGAAAAAAAATTATAAATATCAAATGTAATAATTAAAGTAACTTCACTTTTATAATACAGCAACTTGTTCCATTGGCATAGAATGTTCGCTATCAAAGCATTTTGAGCATACACATTCAGAAATAATAAAAATAATTTATAATATATTTTATATATATATATATTGACAGACAATACAGGCTTGTCACATGAATATATGCTTTTAAGTCAAACCCTTTCAGTACTGAGGTATTTTTCCTCCATGCCGTGTGCGAGTTTTATGGGGGTCGTGGGTTACTCAGGAGAGCTGTGTAATAGAATTTATGGTGACATTTCTAAAAGTAAGTAGATTAAGAAAGTGATCAATTGATTCGACTTCCTTTGATTTTTTATTGTATACACAGCTACTGGTTTTTGCCTCCGACTTCGTCTGTGTCATTTCCAATAACGTAAATTTAATTAACTAATGTAAAATAAAACGTGTAAATACGTAAGCAAGAATTATATATAAAGATATATATATATATATATAAAAGAATTTATATATAGCTTATATTTTTTAATACTTTTATATTATTTAAATTGTATATTTTTTTTTATTATTTTGTATTTCATATACTGTATGAAATGGAGAAAGACTTAAGGTACTTTTTTATCTCGATCAATAAACATATCCCGGTTACACAAACAAAGTCGCCGGTAAAAACTAGTGCAAATAAACTAAGAATCTCTTCGTTTTAATGCCACTTAAAATGGCATTTGTATTTAGCGGAATAGCATCAATTAAAATATATAATAGTGCTTACTTAAAACGTGAGCCACAAAATAAAACGCCAACAGTTCGTAACGGCGAAATGCTGAGTAAAGTCGCCGCTAACTCGAGGAAAATTATTCAAGAAAATTAAATCTTAATAGAAGCTGAAGATCGGCGATTTTGTTTATTTTATAGGCGTGTTTATTGCGTGAGAAGAGTTTATTTCTTTTAGGGAAACGATAAATATCGCATTAGGCTAACGCGAAACTGGCAGTAGCCGGCCGGTCTTTGGAATTTACTTACAAACGCGCTATTGTGCAATTTTATTCGAGAAACTTAGGAGAAAGGGAATTAATAATTCATAATTCTTCTCGCTGTACGCCAAGGGTTTTTTTTTCTTGCGAACTACGATGGAAAAAGTATCTTATATGAGTATATTATTCTAAACTTTGTTTAATACCGTTTCCTTATAGTGTTAACCGATGGGGTAGAAAGGTTCTTGAGTGACGACCCTGGGCAAACACAGTATAGGACGACCCTCCACTAGATGGAGTGACGACCTCAAATGTGTTACAAGGAGTAGATGCAGGTGGCTCAAGACCGTTCCTTTTAGTAAACTGCCATAAAGGTTACTATTCCATTATAATCATAAAAAATAGATATTTTCGCAAATTTTTGCATTTACAATATTAGTTTAGTTTTTTTTTATACTACTATATTGCCAAACAAGCATACGACCCGTCTGATATTAAACGAAGTTACCGTATCCTATGAACACTTGCAGCACTGGACATGACACGCGCGCATTGCCGACCGTTTAAAAACCTTAATACGGCCTTTTTGAAAAACCTACCAGAGGGAGACTTTGTACAAAAGTCGATTGCTTGGGTACCTCTGTACCATTCGTGTTTCAAACATGAAGCAGTTGTATTTGCATGGCTGTGTTTCGGTTTGAAGGGTGGAATATGGCGTGAATTTACTGGGTACAGAGGAATAACACCTGAGTTCTCAGGAATGGCAACGCAGGGGGGGTATCATGGGCGAAACAGTATACTCTGTTATGTCCATGGTACTGCTCATGTCTACAGGCGACGGTTACCACTTTTCATCAGGTGGACCGTCAGCTTGTTTGCCATTATAAGTTGTATAAAAAAAAACAACTTCATACTGTAGTCTCTAAGGAAAACCTCGGCAGGAAGATCATTCCACGACCTGAGTGTTTGCAAGAGGAAGCCCTCCGAAACTGCACTGTGCGTGACCATTAGCGAATTTGGCAGAATAATAATATTAAACCAGCTAAACAATTTAGTTAAATATGCACCAAGTTAATTAATTACAGATGCCATCACAGTGAAGAAAGGAGCGAAATTTTGTTACAGTTACCAAAACCCATGAGTTCCGAGATCGCTTGAATGCTGATAGCCAATTATGACGAGAAAACAATCTGCTTCGGAGAATTAGGTCCGCTATACGAATAACGACTTTGTGGTTTTGTAATAAGACAACATTTCGAGGAACCAGCCGAAATTCATTAAAACCTTTAATTCGTGTTCCATTCAGTGGTGTTTTTTTACAGGAAACCTTTTGTAAATTTGTCTTTTCAGTTGCTGTATTTCTGTATTTATACACGTCACAAAGGAAAATTTATAAAACAAATCCTATTAAAATTTTTTAATGCCAAGTTTTAAAGTTAATTAATCGTGATAACGTGTATTTATTTATTTATTCACTAGCGGCCCGTCCCGGCGTCGCACGGGTGGACATTTTTACATTTTAAAAAGTGGCCGTTAAGGCTGCACACGCGACGGAAGCTTAAAAATGGAGTAACTTCTCCCGTTTTCCCAATATTTCCCTTCACTGCTCTGCTCCTATTGATCGCAGCGTGATAAAAAGTATACTGCAACCTGCCCAGGAGTATGAAGAATAATTGTACCAAGTTTCGTTAAAATTCGTCTAGTAGTTTTTGTTTCTATAACGAACATACCGACAGACAGACAGACAAAAATTTTACTGATTGCATTTTTGGCATCAGTATCGATCACTAATCACCCCCTGATAGTTATTTTGAAAATATATTTCATGTACAGAATTGACCTCTCTACAGATTTATTATAAATATAAATTAGTACATATATCGTCATAGTCGTAGAATACTGACGGATCTGACGAATATTACATATAAAGATCCGTCAGTATTCTACGACTATGACGATATGTGTGCAAGGCAGACTTAATGCTAAAAGCATTCTCTTACAGTCATGTATTACTCGCCCACATCTATAACATTAATCTATGTATATTTGTAGTATTAAAAAAATAATTTTATTACAAAAACAACAGATTACTATTGGGAATTAATTTTAATTATACAGAAAGCGAATCGAGCCGGCCTCAATTTGAAACTGGGCGAGGAATTTTTAGCTGCTCATGGAATCTCAATTTTAAAGTTAGTACACCGGATCCATTGATAGTCAGCCGGCAGTCGTCAGTGGTTTCGCCATTAAGTTTAGTACAATTTTAACTGATTTCGCTGAGTAAGAGGTTCCTCGATTCAGTTGTATTTTTAAGCGACTATAAAAAGAAGAAATTTATCTATATCTCGAGAAGGAATAAAGGAGACAGGCTTTGCCTAGTGTGGGGTCATAGTTATATTGTACTACAGGCTAATTTTGTTTAAGAAAATAAAGGTATTATTATTAAGTTATTATGTCTATATTCTCAACCGACTTCAAAAGCAAGTGACTTCAAAAGCGAGTTCTCAATTCGGTCGTATTTTTTATGTTAATTCCCCTCAACGCTCCATCAATTATTAACTGATTTGGAAAATTCTTATTTATCTGAAAGGATACACTTACAGTTTGGTTCCATTAATTTTTTATCAAAATTGGTACAATAATGTAATTTTTATATATCATACCATATCAGCCGTTTACTGTCCACTGGTGAACTTCAGCCTCTCCCTATTCGACTGTTTGCCAGAAGTTGCCGCGCTTGACAAATGGCTTGGCAACTAGTTAAGTTTTATGATGTTTTAACAGGAACGTTCCTGTCAATCCCTCCACCATTAAATTCCCTTAGTGACCTCTTACGATACCTACGGGAAAATAATGGATGGGCCTATTCTATGCCGGGACCACACGGCAATATTATTGATTCTATATTATTTATCCTACAGTTAAAGCTGTCATAATATGTATGAATGCATGTATGAGACGAGTTAAGAAAGCAGATAAAGCAAGAAACTTAAGGATAGAGGCGTCTAGCTACTCAGAACCTAAATCCGAGAGAATTGGCACGTAAATAAATAGCTAGAATTGTGCTGTATATCCCGCTTCGAGGCAAAGAAATATCTAATAGAATTTCTACATAAGCCACTGTTTAGATAGTAGCTCAATCAATACAATAGGATAGAACGCAGAAGGCCAAGATGTGAGTCAACAGAGCACAGCTGCGCTTCGACGCGCTTCGCAAATACACCACACCGCAATAGCGTTTATCGTTAACACCATATAGATTTATTTATTCATAACATTATTATGTTATTTTTAGAAATAGTACAAAATAAATTTATATCACTGGTAGGGATGGATAACATATACCAATATCTACATATATTACAATATCTATTATCTCTATATATTGGCCCAATAACGGATATGACACATATATATATATATATATATATATATATATATGTGTCATATCCGTTATATATCGGAACGGTAGCGGTATTACTATACTTTCTCATCATCTAGTCTCAAACTAAACAGAATTGTTAACAATTCTGAATTTTAAACTTTGACGTTGTTTACACATATTTTTAATTAAATTTACATTCGGGACTTAACGCGATGAAAAACACGCGGTCCAGTCCTGACCACGACGCGGTGCAATCCACGTCGAAACGTCGGCAATAAAGAAGTAAGTATGTAGGTACTGTTTACCTGTAAAAGCTTTTACATCGCGTTAAGTTCTGATTGAGTATTTAAAAATATTTATATGAGCTGTTAGGTTACCATAGTAACTGTACATACGGGGGGGGGGGGGACTAATTGTTAGTAATGAGGAAATGAGGACTACCAGTCCAATTGCTAGCCAATCCAGTCCGTTTGCCAAGCATGGCAACTACTGCCAGTACGTACAGTAGTAACCAGTACGGTTAATGTTACTAATGGAACAAATTCATATTTAAATAATATAGAATATTAATCGGCGACGTCACAAGATTTACACAGAAGCAAATAGACTCTAATGAAATTCCCAACGGCAAGCGGTTTTAATTTATTAATACAGCGTAGTTATAAATATGAATCTGTTGAAAGCAAACAGTAAGATTATTAATAAGTTTAGTAAAATATCTCGACGTTTAAAACAAGATACAGTAACTAAAATAACACGTAATTATGAGGGAGGAGAAGGAGACTTTGTACAAAAGTCGTTTGCTTGAGTACCTTTGTCCCATTCGTGTTTCAACCGTAAAGCAGTTGTGTTTGCATGGCTGTGTTTCGGTTTGAAGGGTGGGATGTGGCGTGAATTTACTGGGTACAGAGGAATAACACCCGAGTCCTCAGGAATGGCAACGCATGGGGGGTATCATGGGCGAAACAGTATACTCTGTTTTGTCCATGGTACTGCTCATGTCTATAGGCGACGGTTATCACTTTCCGTCAGGTGGGCGGGCGGTCATCTTGTTTGCCTATATATATATAATTTATTCAATAAACAATCAAAATATCATACACAATACATAAATGGTTCTGTTTAAGCGAATACGCTACGTCAAATACATAGAGTCGCAAAACAAACACAAAACAAAAAGGGTACGCTCAAAGTTTGAACTTTTTCCTTTTTAAAGTTGGATGAAAACAAACAAACAAATACTATGTGGGGAGGAAAATATACATCGTGTGTAGAATGTTGGTAGAAGAAAAATATCATTGGAAAATGTTTGAATATCTACGATTCTGTTCGTTCATCCATAATTATTGTTTTAGATATTTTATTTTTATGTCGCGCACTTCAATGCGATATTGGCATACGTTGCTTTCTATTTGTTAAATTCATGCATTCTCTGTAGTACGTAATAAGAAAAAATCAAAGAACGTTATACGAGATATATTGATGGGTATGTATTTGTTTTTAGCGTATTCGAAAGGAATTATTTTTCAATTTATTTGTATTGTTAATCGACTTTAATAAGGAGTTTCTCAATTCGATTGTATTTTTTTATATTACCTCATAACTTCGTCGTTTATAAACTGATTTAATTTTTTTTTAACTAAATGTATATACTTTCAGATAAGTCCCATAGAAATTTTATCAAAATCGAATCGGTAGTTTAGTTTTTAAATAAAAATAAATGATTTAACTACTATTGAAATAGATTTTTTTTATAGAACACAGTCTTATTTTTTTTTTTAATAAAAATTGTATATCATCTGCAACTCTGAATAAATTTAATTGGCTCCTTTTCCATACTATTCCTGTTACGTTTGAGAGTTGTTATTATGGAGTAAGATCTTAAATTATTGAAATATAATGCCTTGTTAAAGTATGAACACGAATAGTTAGGTCTATCTAATACCTTTACTACATTACGTAAGTGAGGTTTTTTTTTTATTAGATGAAAATGGATTGTATAATGGTAACTCCATCTGCGCTAACGGGATACTCCCCATGCGTTGCCATTCCTGAAGACTCAGGTGCTGTTTTATGTAACGTTTATTTTTCTAATGTATTAATTTATAATTTATTGCCTTGCTTTAAATAAATATGGGACGGAGACGGTATATCCGTTACATTTTATCCTGATCAGTAAATATATACTGGTCGTGCGAACAAAGTCGCGTGTAAAAGCTAGCATTAATATAATTAATTAATACTTATATACTATTAGAAAACATTTGTTACTTCACGACAAAAAATAGTTTGTAATACCTATCCAATTTTGTCGTTTAAACGTCTTTGACTTTCACCCTGTATATAAATGAAATGCCAAATGAACATTAGGATATACCTAACCATTCAAATAAGACCTCATTCATCTTCCTAGGCATGCGGGTAAGTTTCTTGTCAGCGGAAGCTATTCGTCTAACGTTATATTATACAATATAGCAACACATTAGTACAAACTCCGCGCTCGCTACATAGTCGAGACGAGAAAAAGAGATATACGCGAGGTTCAGGATAAGTAATTGCAAATGTTTAACTGCTTTTAACGATTCTAAATAAAAAAAGAATAGGAATAATTTTTGTTAAAAAAATTACAAGCATATTTGAATGATAATTTTTAGGGTTCCGTACCTCCAAAAGAGAAAACGGATAGACCTTTATAGGATCACTTCGTTGTCCGTCCGTCCATCCGTCTGTCAAGATCCTTTTTCTTAGGAACGTGTGAAGATATAAATTTGAAATTAATATCATATACTCAGGTCTGCAATCTCTTAAATCAGTGAAAAAATCAAGTTCCTAAGCTTGATTTTTCGTCGTTAAAATTAGTTGACGTAATCAATACGACCGTTTATGTTTTATTTATGTCGCATATTTTGACATCTGATAAGAGAATCAAAACTTATAGGGTACTTTCCGTTGACCTAGAATCGTGAAATTTGGCAAGAAGCAATGACACGTACCATAAGTAAAGGGAAAAATCCGAAAACCGTAAATTTATAGTTATTTAAAAAAAAACTTGATGATTTTGTACGGAACCCTCGTTGCGCGAGTCCGACTCGCACTTTACAGGCTTTTTTGTGACCCCGCCGCCCATGTGGAATGCAATTTTAGCTCAGAAGAACGAGCAAGAAACTTAACTATTGTTTTTTTTATAGTAAAAGTTGATTTTACGATTATAAATTTATGTCAAAATTAATTAAAAGAGAAACTTCTGAAAGTGTACTAGTGAGACGCATACCGTTGTGTTAAATATAACACTCGAGACTTGTCCATAGATGGATTCCAATATCCTCAGCTAAATATGGACATCCGCATTTTACTGAGCATATTAGAATCCATTGTTGTAACAGACGAGCCTAATATTGCTTGGAATAATCTAATTCGTTAACGTTGTTTCTATCACCAGAGAGTCAGTGGAACATCTAAAGTTTTCCGTATTGGACATATTCAAACGCACGATCTTTGAAGTCGGAGTACTTCTTGAAACTTACAATGACATACATTCTCTTCACAGTTATACACGCATCGTCACATTATCTTCTCTGATTCGCATCAACAGTTACCAGTATTCATCAGTATCGTTCTCAATTGCATAAAGAAATATTTTTTTTTTTTATACAACTTAGAATGTCAAACAAGCTGACGGCCCAACTGATGGAACGTGGTAACCGTCGCCTATAGACATAAGCAGTACCATGGACATAACAGAGTATACTGTTTCGCCCATGATACCCCCTCATGCGCTGCCATTCCTGAGGACTCAGGTGTTATTCTTCTAATAATAGGATTTTCTAGAATGCTCGTTGGGTATAATCTTTTACCTGATGTTGCCTCGCTTCTTGCTGCTTGAGGTACCTCAGCCGCTGCTCCTTGGCGCAGAGCAGCTGGTGCTGTGTGTCTATCTGCTGCTGCTGCCGAAGAGCCATCGCGCGTAACTCTCCCAATGTCAGCTCCACCCCTTCCCCCAACTGCAGACAAGAATAATATACTCCATTAATATTTGTAACCACAATGCTAATGAAAACCAGTAGTCCAATTGGGAAGAAGCTGTTAGTGATGAAGGTACTGGCTCCAGTAAATGTAATGTTTCAACTCAGTTTGATCTTCATGTGGTCCTTTCTGACACACTTCAATCTATTTAAAAGTACAACTTGCAGAACAAACTTGGGCCGCGAATCACCTATCGTCCGCATAACGCGTCTGTGTTTTTTTTATGCAAATTAGAATAGCAAACAAGCTGACAGCCTACCGTAAAGTGGTAACTGTCGCCTATAGACATGAGCAGTACCATGGACATAACAGAGTAAATTTTTTCGCCCATGATACCTCCCATGCGTTGCCATTCCTGAGGACTTAGGTGTTATTCCTCTATACCCTGTTAATTCACTGCCATATCTCTGGCCTTCAAACCGAAACACAGCCATGCAAACACAGCTGTTTCACGGTAGAAACACGAATAGGACAGAGGTGCTCAAGCAAACTACTTTTGTACAAAAACTCCCTCTGGTATTCCTCTCCTCTCTAATATTCACAACGATTCTCACTCTATGTTCATGTCTAAATTGAAATGTTGATGTACCACGCCATTTACATTATATTTATTTATAATTTAAAATAGTTTAATCACAATTTCCATTATTTATATATATTGTTAATATCTTTGTTCATTTAATGACATTTAATAATTTAATTGTATTTTAATATTTATCAAACACAACGCATGCTGTATTTGCCTCTATATGTAAGAACAGTTACATCTAATCCACTAGTGTATTGTATTGAAATGCTTAACTGTATCTTATGTTAGTAATACTATAAATAAATAAATAAATAAATAAATAAATAAACCAAGTTATAACCATATTCCTTGCGAGCTTGTTTCAATGGACCAACTTGACTTGCTTTCATTCTCGACTGCCATCCTTTACTGAAGCCCTGCTAACATGTAGCTATAGCGCAAGCGGAGTTTTTTTTTTATAGATGATAATGAAACGGTAACCCCGCCTGCGCTATTGGTATACATTGGCGGGGCACCAGTGAAGGATGATAGGTGAGGATGAAACAGGTCAGTTAGCCCATCGTGACGAATTCAACAAGATTTGTTCACGGTGGTTTCCAGGCGGAACCACGTGGAGGTCGACCTAATAAGGCATATTGCTAGCAATGGAGCTATCAAACTCCATTGCTAAGTTTGCGGAGTTACAATTCCATTTTCACCTAACATCAAGCAGAAAAAAGAGGGATTGTTTGCAGAAGAACTTGAAAAAATATATATTAGGATTAACCGTCCTTTTTGAAGTTGGTTGATAAATTTCCTAAAATAAATACACAGCGGTGCTTGGGTGCACCTTTTTTTTTTATTAAAAACAAATTTTTAATTACTATCCTTTGCATACAAGGCGTAATGGAAAATGATTTATCAACCCGAGACCCTGAGATAATATTTATTGGACTTAACGATTTGCCACAAGAAACGTGGGTCTTAATACGAATTTGTTTTTCAAGGGATTTGTGCTGCTATCCCTGAGGACTAAGGTCACAGTATCATGTAAATTCACTGTCACACAGTAACAACTTATTTCTATAAATTCACTTCAAAGATATAGTATATATAAACTTAAACAAATTGTATGTCAACTACATTTGACAGAATTTAATTTAGAAAAACTTGTTATTGGTCATACATACCAGAGGGAGACTTTGTACAAAAATCGATTGCTTATGTACCTCTGTCCCATTCGTGCTTCTACCCTGAAGCAGTTGTGTTTGCATGGCTGTGTTTAGGTTTGAAGGGTGGGATATGGCGTGAATTTACTGGATACAGAGGAATAACACCTGAGTCCTCAGGAATGGCAACGCATGGAGGGTATCATGGGCGAAACAGTATATTCTATTATGTCCATGGTACTGCTCATGTCTATAGGCGACGGTTACCACTTTCCATCAAGTGGACCGTCAGCTTGTTTGCCATTCTAAGTTGTATAAAAAAATATACTACTCTGTTATAAAATAATTGTTAATTTTATTTTTAAAGAGCTGTTGTTTTTTTTTTTTTTAATAAATATATTAATTAATTAATTAATTAAAATATACAGATGGAAATTATTACAGCATCAAGTCTTACTAATAGAATTTTAATGGTACGAAAAAGTCGAAAAGCAACTTTTTCCAAACTTCAGCTAAACATGATTATCGTAAAAAAAGGAATCGTCCATTCGCCACACTGTTGTTGGCCGCTGGAACTTTTGTGATTTCTCATCAGCCATATTCAATTGAAACTTGGAAGTAGCTCAACTGAGTTGAGATATATGACGTATATATATATATATATTGTAACTAGAATTGTCAAGACGGATTTTCTACGCGGCGCCTCTTACAATAAAGTATAGTGAAACTCTATCCTATATGTCTAGTGAATAAGAATGTATGACGGTAATCATAGTTTCTTTATATGACAATTTATGATTGTCTTCCAAAAAAAAAATTACTTATTTAAAAACTAACCAACTAGGGAAAGGGATTGTTAGTAATGAGATTTTTTTTTTTTGGTGGATGAAAATGGTATGGTAACCCCGCCTGCGCTAACAGGATATGCTGGCGGAGCACCAGTGAGAAGTGATAAATGAGAATGAAAACAGGTCAGTTAGCCCATCATGATGAATTCATCAGGAATTAACTATGATAGTTTCCAGGGGGAACCACGAGGAGATCGATCTGGTTGGGTATATTGCTAGCAATGGGAATTTTAGTCTCCATTACTAACAATCCCTTTCGCCCCAGTAATGAGTTTTAACAGGTCCATTGCTAGCAATACACCCTATCAGGTCGGCCTCCACGCGGTTCCCCCTGGAAACCATAGTGGTTAATGTTTGTTAAATTTGTCACTATGGGCCAAATGACCTGCTTTCATCCTCACCTATCATCCTTCATTAGTATCCCGCTAGCGTATACCGATAGCGCAGGCGGAGTTACCATTCCATCTTCACCCATAAAAAAAAACCAACTAGACAGACCAAAACTATCGCACCAAATAAAATCCAGTTTTCATATTTTTATTTCTAAAGGTCTAATATAAAATCTGGTACGCGTTTTATCTTGTGAAACATTCATATAATAGATTTTCAGGCCAGTTAGTCCATCATGATGAATTCATCAGGAATTAACCATGATAGTTTCCAGGGGGAACCGCGAGGAGGTCAACCTGGTTGGGTATATTGCTAGCAATGGGATTCTCAGTCTCCATTACTAACAATCCCTTTCCCCCAGGTTCGCCTAGTGTGGGGCCCATTGTATCTTGTGTTTGTAACTTTATGTTTTTGTCAAATAATAAATTTCTATTCTATTTCTATCCTAGTTGACCGACATATCTAGGTCACGCAGACGATGCCACGGTTAAATACTAGTTTACATTCTTATATAACAATTAAACGACTAGAAACTATATAGAAATGTCTTAACAGTGTATACGAAATATCCCATTGGGATGGGATTAGTGGATACCATTGAAAATATGAGTGTCCTTTCTAGATAGCAGCAGGTCAGCCGCACGCTTCCATTCATTCAGGCTCGTGGAACGCTTTAGTGCCGCATTATAGGCTTTATTGTTTGAAATTGTCCTTAGCATTCAGTTTTCGGACCTTTTAATCTAATTTATTAGGGTGTGGTGGAATATTTGTAATTTACGATTATTTCTAAGCATCTAGATATTTAGGAGCGTTATTGTAACCTGGGGTTTAATTGTCCCAACAAGAAGTAAGTAGGGCGGAATGGGATTGTTAGCAATGGAGTTTGATAGTCCCATTGCTAGCAGTATGCCCTATTAGGTCGACTTCCACGTGGTTCCCCCTGGAAACCATCGTGAACAATTCTTGTTGAATTCGTCACGATGAGCTAACTGACTTGCTTCATACTCCTATCATCCTTCACTGGTGCCCCGTCGGTGTATACCGATAGCACGGGTGGGGTTACCATTCCATAATTACCATACACTCATTAAAAAAAAAACAAAAAAGAAGTGTAAATTTTTAACTTATTGATAATAATATTTTTTTCATGCAACTTAGAATGGCAAACAAACTGACGGCTCACTTGATGTGAAAGTGATAATCGTCGCTTATAGACATGAACAAAACCATGGGCATAACAGTACACTATGTCGCCCATTATGCTTCAAACGTTGCTATTATATGTAATGTAAGTATGAAAAAGTTGATGAATGTGGAGGAAGCGAAAGAAGTATGTTTGAATCGAAGCATTTGACGTTCTATTGTTTCTGCCTTTCCTAGTGGGAGACAGGCGTGACCGATATGTATGTATTTTTATAAGAATATAGATTTTGACTAAGATAAAATATCAGAACAAGGATACGATTACTTAAACTGTTAAATCGATCGAATGACTGCAATAAAAAGTTTTTATATTTTTCCAAATTTCGACACATGTTCCTTATCCTTAGAGAAAGTTGCTTATCATGAGGAATAGCTATCTATGGAGTTCTGAACCCTTTTCTGATATATTATGTATATTAAGGACATAGTAGAGATAAATTTAGATAACCTAATGGACTGAACACCACAAAACCACTGTGATCCATTACAAAATATCTTAGATTCCTCCGAGCATTATCGAATATTTAAACAAAAGGAAGTGTAAATTCGTATTCGTGTTGGAAATAGACCTTTATTATTACAATATTTAATTAATAATTTAATTACTAATTAAATCTAATTAATAATTAAATTGTATTGATAATAACTTTAATTAATATGTAAATTATGAATAAACAAAAACAAAGAAATAAAAAGACGATCAAATACAATTTTTCAATCGAGTTCAAAGAGGGAATTCTCCATTCAAATGTATTTTTTTACATTTGTTACCTCATAACTGCATTATTTATAATTCAATTCGAAAAATATATTTTTTATCTAAAAGGATATACTTACAGATTGGTTTCATAGACATTTTT